GTAGTAATGAATAAAAAGACCTAATTAAGTCATGCTCGAAGAGTCGACCATGCTTCAATTGGCACCAACACCCTTAACTACGTGTTTATGGTTAGAGACAAGGTTTTTGAAAGAGATGGCTCTAGTTAGTGACTTTGTGACTCTTGAGTTGACTTTGGTAATCATCGAGTGGTTTAATTGGACCATAGTGATATTTAAAATTGAATGTGGTCATTGTAGGCTCTTGACTCTATCCTCTTTTACAATCTAGTTGCGTGAGGGGTGAGATGCATTGTTCCTAGTCCAAGTATCCGTGCGAAGGGTCTAGAACTTGCCCCGAATGTGTTTCAAGGCGAAATCTGAAGTTTTGCTTAGTTTGAAAAGTGATTGTAGGCTTTCCTTGGCCCGTTTGATCTTTCTATTACCAACCAATGTCGATATCCCTAGGCAACCCCTTTGAGCCGCTAAACATTCTCATTTGATAACCATGTTATAAGCCTTTCCTCGTTTTGTCGTGACCCTCTCTTGGCACCCGGACTTTCCTTAACACTCTTGTGAAACAAATGGCTTGAAACATAAGTTTGGGGGGAGAGATGAGGAATTTAAAGAAGGTATCAAGGCACAAAAAGAGAATAGAAATGATCTATATAAAAGAGAAGGCAAGAAAAGAAAAGAACAAAAAGAAAAATGCAAAACGTGAATAAGTGGAAGGGTTGATGGATTCACAAAGAGGTAATGATCCCAAACATTGAGAAATAAAAAAGGGAGAAAAAGAATGAAATGAACAAGAAAGAGTGATGTTAAGTCTCTCTAGTCCCCAATGAAAGAAAGTGCCTCTAAGAATTGGCAATTGTGAGCCGAGAAATGAAAGTGTGAAGTGCTTAAGGAAAGGTATAACCACTTACCTATATGGTATCCTACCCTAACCCAAAAGCCTTTATTACATCCTGAAAGAAGTCCTACTTGATTTCAAACCGAGTGAGCTTACATTACTGGCGATCTACATGAGGGGCAAGCCTTTGGTACTTGAAGCCGTACTTGTGACATTCTCTGTAAGAGATGAGTAAGCCTTTCATGAATCTTCGGATTGAGTGCTAATTTCTTAAGTGAGTTTGAAAAATGGAAAGTAGAGGAGGAAGAGTTTGGAGTCCACCATGGCCTACATGATAGAACAAGAGTCCTTGATGAGTAAAATCAATTCTTGAAGATCAAATGTCACATTAGAACTATATGTGCATGAATATTTGACTTGTCACCTTGTTGATAATGCATGAGTCGTGTGGGTAATTGTTGGTCCCAGCAGCTGTGTGAATGGCTCACCTTTGAGTCGCTGAAATGACCCTTAACTCTAGGAGGTGGAAACTAATTTATTTACTTGAGGACAAGCAAAGACTTAAGTTGGGGGGAGTTGATAAGTGGGGATTTTGACTACTTATTAGTACCTTTTTGCTTTTATTTTAGTCCGAAAATATTGATAGTGTTCCCAAAACTAATGAAAGTGTGCAAATTGCAGGAATATGGGAGTTTGATCTCCCATGATGAAGTCCCACTCAAAAAGGGGTGATCTGAATCACAAGGCAATAAAGGGCGCAGAATCAAAGAAGTGCGGTCCGCAGAAGAAAGTGCGGACTGCAGAATTCCATATGCGGCCGCAGACCAAGTGGAAGAACCCAGCAAGATTTTGACCAATGTGCGGACCGCACATGACTTGTGCGGCCACAGAACAAGGTTTGCACTAACAAATGATTCAAAGTTCAGAGAGTGTGCAAAAGACCAAAACCTGAAGCCTTGCTGAAGTGCGGACCGTACAAGAATTGTGAGGCCGCAGAAGATACTTCGTAGCCGCAATCCAAAAATGTGCAGCTGCAGAATCCAATCTCCTGCCAACTGCATAAATCTGCGAACCGCACATGGAATTGTGCGGCCGCAGAACCTCCCGAGGGCCATTTTTGTCAGCGAATTTTGGGCCACTATAAATAGATGAATTTTACATTTTTAGGTCAAGTTTTCGAAGTTTGAGTTTTTGTAGCCGCTACATTTTGCATTTTAGGAAGTTTGTGACTAATTTAGTGTTTAAACATTATATTTAATCATTTTTTATCTTTGATTTTGAATTTAATTAGTATTTCTTCTTTATTTTCTTTAATTTTCCACTATGAGTAGCTAGATTTTTACTAGGGTTGTGACCCTACCCTAGTGTGTAAACCTTATGGGTACTTAATTTAATGCTTGTTTATGATTGGGTGTTGATTATTTAGCTTAGTTTATGCTTTAATTTTAGAATTAATGGTTGCAAATATTTATTCAAGATTTTTTGACTTAGTCTCTACTTGAGAAAGAGGGTCCTAGTCTAGGATAACTTAGCTAACAAGGAATTGAGTTAATTGAGAGTTTGATTAGCCTAATTAAAGGGTTCAAACTAGAGATAGTGAGAACTCGACTTGACCTCATATCAACTATTTTGTTTGATACCCATTTGAACTTGAGAAAGTCGAATTGGGCAAAATCACTCTTTGACCGAGAGGTATTGAGTGGATAACGTAGAATTGAGAGCTATAATACACCCCAATCAACAAAATAAGTATTAACGTATTTAACCCATTAGGCGAACACCTTGGTCATGGTCACATCCCTAGGCCGTTTAACTAATTGGAAAAATACCAAAAACAATCATTCGTTTCTTGTTTCTTCTTGTAGATTACAATTGTTAGATTAAAAGTAAAAGTAGAAATCAAAACCTTTTGTGGAAATGCAAATTTAGTTAATCTATTCGCTTTCATCAAGTGTATACTCCTAACACCCATTTTAACTCCCTGTGGAAATTGTGAGCACCTAATTTTTGCCCCACATAGGAAATTACTCCTAAAAATATTCAAAAATAGTTTTAATTACTTTTGTAGAATTTTAGGAATTTTTATTTTTATTTGTTTGGCATTTATTTGCACTTTTAGCATCTTTTAGTAGCATTTCAAATCACAAAAATGACAAAAAAATGCTTCTATTATGCTTTTTGGCATTCTTAGATTTTTACTTGCATTATTAACGTTTAGTTTGCATGATTAATTGCATTATTAAAATACAAAAATACATTAGTATGTCTAGCCATGTTTTGCATTTTAGTTTAAATTAATGAGTTCATTAGTTAAATAATTGATCAACTAGCTTTAGAGTACGTGCGTTGCACGTGTTAATAAACTAAAAATTACATACAAGAAGAATAAATTATGTAAAATACAAATGGGCATTAGGATTGATGTGATATTCATTTAAATGACAAAAATAACGTCATTATTGACTCATTTGTTGAATTTAAAATAATTAAATATCTTTTAAAATTGCAACTACGAAAAATTTAGTTAAGTTAATTATATTAATAATTATAGCTATTTTATCTCAAGAGAATGCTGTGTTGATGTTAATAATTATAGCTATTTTATTTTAACATTTGAGAATGAATAGATTGGTCCTATAATGTTTTTTTTTTAAAAACAAGCGGACAGTGATAATATAAAGTCTAAAATTAATTAATGTTAGTCTATATATCTATATATATATATATAGAGAGAGAGAGAGAGAGAGAGAGGAGATAATGAAAATAGAAAAAAAGAAAAAGTTAGCACAAATTATTTAAAATACATATCGCCTTCTACTATTGCATTATATACTAACTTTTTCAAGATTGAGTTTCGACCAAATTAACTTGTAATACAGCATTATAACTTATTTTACTCTATCTTTTGGATATCCTTTACGGCAGCACTGTGCTACTGCATACCCAATAAATAATACATAAAAGGGATTCGTAGAAATACTTTTTTATATTTGTTTTTTTATTATTTGTATTCTACAATCACAAGTTAAATTGAACACTAATAGAAGTTTATTATCTCCATAATTATTTGTGAAACATAGTGACCTTTTGAAGTTTATCTCATACATAATAGGTAATCTTCTTTTATTTACCTTTTGAAAGTACTAAATATTAGGACTTCTTACGCAGTTCAAACAAGGAAAAATTTATTAGTTGATTCTAAAAATGTTAAATATTAAGAAAGTGATTAATCGGTAAAGGGTGTTGTGCTTTCATTATATTATAGATAGATAGATAAATAGATAGATAGATAGATAGATGGATAGAGATAAGAAAAGGTATAAGGTAAATTTTTTAATTGATTTTAAATTCCTAAATATTAGGACTTCGTATATAGTAATTTAAATAAGAAAATAATAAGTAAGTAGAATTTTTGTTGATTTTATAGTACTAAATATTAAAAAATAATTAAACTATAATTTTATCCAATATAAATTCTTAAATATTATTTAAAGTATTAAATATTACAAAATTATGTAGTACGGAACTATTTATTTGTCGGAATAAAATAGTACTTTTTCATATTGATAGATGCTGTTCTGTCGTAAAAAAATATTTCTTTTTTCATCTCTATTTGAGGAAAGAGCAAATCATTTTCTTTTCTCTAAATTCCTTTTATTATTGATAATCAATATGCCGTAGCAAATTTCATGTGAAATTGCAACTCTTACTTTAGGCCCCAACGCATCACATGGCTCAAACTTCAAACAAAGAACGGATGTTTTAAGGTAAAATTATATATGTGCAAATTTCAAACAAGAAAACTTTTTTTAAAAGGAAAGATTTGACAATTAAGATATATAGTTGATTTAAAAGTCTTAAATATTCGAAAAATAATTAAATGACTATTTTATCTAGCGTGAACTCTATTTTAAAAGGGTAAAAAAGGCGAACGACATTTCGTTAAGGGCCTTCGTCCTTTTAATATAGTATAGATTAGGAAAATAGATAATTAGATTAATTTTGCAAAGTTAGTTTTAATTAGAATTAGATGGATTAATTTAGAAAGTAGTAAGACAAGAAAAAGAAAAGCTGTTTGTTGGTCTTGTATTGAAATTGGGCCAAAGCAATTTCGAGTAGCCCATTTGTCTCACACCAGCCCAAACATTTTAGCCCAGACCATTAATTCCCTAACCATAACAGACCTCTCCCCCATTCTTCAAGAGACCTAACCACAATGAGAGCCCTCCCCTTTTCATAAGACCTAGCGCTGTTTCCTTCAAGAAAAAAAAAAACAGACACAAAGAACCGAACAGAGGCCTCTTCTTCTGGATTCCTTCTTCTTCTCACACCCACATACACTTCTCCCACACCTCAACCATCACACTCACACAAAGATGAAGGCTCACCCACTCACGTTTTGAACACACATAGCTGATAAGAAAGCTAGGAAAATTAAAATGAAGATCTGAAAATCGCAAAAGCTTGAAAAACAAAAGAAAACTGGGATTTCGAAGAAGAGTTGGGGAGTAATTGTCCGCTGAACTTTCGAACTCTTCCCTGGATGTATACAAGGCTGTTGAATCTCAAATTTATGGGTGTTTGCTACGGTTCTGTGCTGGAAATTATTCGTTGCTGATGTTGTTTGGCTAAGAGCTGAGCTTCCTAATTCCAGTTATTGCTTCTCCTTCAGAGTCAGAGATCCATTTTCTCCCATTTGTTTGTTGTGACCAGGGCTGAGAGTGCTTGCAATCCTGTAAGGTTTTTCGCAATTTTGTCCACTCAGAGGTCTGGTAGTAGATGGTTTGAAACATTGCTGAACAACCATATGAATATAAGCTCTAGTGGGGAGATTTTTTTGTTAAAGCCCGGAAAAGTAATGCATCGATGATTTTGGAAACATTGGACAAACTCTATAACCTAGAGTTTTTGACCAGCGCTTCCAAGAATGAATGCACAGCTGCAGTTGTACTGAAGTGAATGCTTAATCAGGTGGGTGCCATTTTTAAATTTCTATTGTCATGTCTGTTCCTAAATATCTGATCACGAGAACATAAACTATGTAGCAAACGTAAGTATAATTTATAGAAAATCTTCTGTAAACTTGATTCATTTTATCAACATTGTGTGCTAGTCGTTAGTGATTTATATTGTGGATATACGAGGTTGCTTCTTGATTTTTCAAATGTGAAGTGGGCATGTATGTCTATCATCCAAATTTGGTCTTCTCATCAAGCTGTCATTTTGGTAGAGATAAACACATAATTTTTTATTAAGGAACTAAAAAGGGGAAGATTGTTGGTGGAATTTCACAATGGAGTATTCATTACCTAGGCGTGTTAATTTAGTAAAACCAATAATTTTGAACATCGTAGCTTGCTTTAGTCGCGTTAATTAAATAAATCATCGTGACTATGGGTACGGTTCCCGTGGCATAGTCATGATACGCAACCTCTAATTCGGGTGCGCATTTCATGTGACCCGATCATAACTTCAAACAATAATAAAATACACATGTTTGTAGATCGTGGGTACAGTTCCCGTGATGCGATTCGCAACATGTACAAAAACAAACAAGTGTACGACAATCGTAACTTGTTCCAGAAATAACTCCATAAATAATTAGAAGCGGTTTAAAGTTAAAACATGCACAATAGGTTATAAATATGTAATTAATCAGATAATTAGGCCAATTAATAATAGTTGAGCGACCGTGCTAGAACCACGGAACCCGGGAATGCCTAACACCTTCTTCCGGGTTAACAAAATTCAATATCAGACTGTATCCTTCGAACTATGGGTATTGTGGAGTCTAGTGGGGTAGCTTTCCCTACGTTCTAGCTGAAGGGAACGGCTTATCAGTGGTGGCGAGCATATGAGTTGGGTAGTCCGGCCGAGACAGCTTCACTCACTTGGGTTCAGTTCTCAGATATGTTCTTGAAGGAGTTTGTTCCCCAGAGTCTCAGAAATGCATGGCGCGCTGAGTTTGAGCAGTTGCGGTAGGGTTCTATGACCGTGTCGGAGTATGTGGTCAAGTTTAGTGATTTGGCTAGGCATGTACCAGCCTTAGTTGCTACTGTTGGAGCGGGAGTCTGTCGATTTATCAGGGGTTCAACCCCGGTATCAGATTTAGCACGACCCGACAGTTGGAGATGGACATTGCATACTAGCAGGTAATGGGGATCGCTAGGATATTGGAGGGTATGTGGACCCGGGAGAAAGAAGAGAGGGAGGCCAAGAAGCCTCGAGATTCTGGCACATACAGTGGTACTCGTGCCCCAGTTGCAGCTCGTCATGGTAGGGATTATGCGAGTCGCCCTGTACATTCAGCACTTCCAGCCTCCATCAGTATTCCGGCCACTTCTAGGCCTTAGGCTCCCTACAATGCATCGCCATTGACTAGCGCACCTCCTGCACGGGGTGCTTTCAGCGGCCAGTCTAGCCGATCATGCCCGAGCCAGCCACAGCAGCCACGTCCTCCGAGAGCCTGATTTGAGTGTGGTGACACTCGAAATATGGTAAGGGAGTGCCCCAGACTTAGGAGGGGTGAACCTCCACTCAAGCTCCACGTATTCCACAAGGGCCCCAGACTCCTCAAGCCGTGGTTACTGCACCAGTTGCCACTCCACCTGCACAACGAGCTAGAGGTGGAGGTTGGGCGGGTAGGGGTCGCCCTAGAGGGGGAGGCCAGGCCAGATGTTATTCTCTTCCAACTAGGATGGAGGCGGTTGCATCCGACTCAGTTATCACAGGTATTGTCCGATTTGTCATAGAGATGTATCAGTCTTATTTGATCCAGGCTCCACTTATTCATATGAATCATCTTACTTTGCTCCATATGTGGGTATATCCCATGATTCCTTGAGTTCTCCTATCTATGTGTCCACGCCAGTGGGAGATTCCATTGTTGTTGACCGTGTGTATCGGTCGTGTTTAGTTGTTCTTGGTGGTTTTGAGACTAGAGTTGACCTATTATTGCTCAGTATGGTAGATTTTGATGTTATTTTGGGAATGGACTGGTTGTCTCCCTATCATTCTATTCTTTATTGCCATGACAAGACGATGACGTTGGCTACGGTTTTAGCTACGTAATTTCCTTTTCATTCTTTAATTGAGTTACTTTAGCAAGTTATAGTCACTATGTTTAGTCTAATTTCACATGTCTACTTGTCTTATCTCTTATTTGCAAATGGCAAAATACATAATCTACCCATCAAACTTAGGACCAAATCCCTCTTACACACCTGTTGAACACGGGTTTTATTTTACACACCAAACCTTTCAAAAGTGTGTCAATTACATACTACTTTTGACCAGCCTCTGGGGCGTGTGAAACACGACCAGTGGGGCACGTGAATAGTTACTTTCTGCCTTCACTGACTAATTACAACGGCTATTTACTAAAATTTGGGCCCATTTTCTTTAACCCATTTTCTGCCCCAATTCTTCATCTCCCTCTTATTTCATCTTCTTCTTCTTTAAAGGAACCAAACAATGTTCTGAACCAAACAATCTTCTTCTTCACCTTCCACAACTAATATGAGAATTGACAGAAGAATGATAATGGGCGTTAGGGTTGTTAAACCCTAAAATTACTCCTGATGAAATACCCAAATAAACCCTAACTATTTCGACCCACCCATCCAAATCAAAAGGGTTGAACAACCTTAAAATGTGAATACTAACCTGAAAAACTGAAGAAGAAACAGCAACAACCAGATGTCTTCTCGTCAGATTATCTTCATAGTTTTAGGGATGAAGAACAGGACTTGGAAAATGGGTTTATGTCTGTTAATTTGGTCGTGTAGGTGTTTTTAACTTACCGGGTTGGATCTTTCATGGGTCGGAATTAAGAAAAGGGTCGGATAATCTATTTTAATTATAAAGAATCGTTGTTTTTTTTTTAATTTATAAAAGCGCGTGTATACAACGCATTAAATATTAAAGGGGCTGGTCAAAAGTAGTGTGTAATTGACACACTTTTGAAAGGTTTGGTGTGTAAAACAAAACTCGTGTTCAACAGGTGTGTAAGAGGGATTTGGTCCTAAGTTTGATGGGTAGATTATGTGTTTTGCCTTTGCAAATTGTCCTACATGTTTAGTTGATTTACTTTCTTTCTTTAATTCTGTAATTATTATTTAACTGTAGGATTCTTTACTTAAAATTTATTGTCCTTGGAATAACTTGTGGTGTTGTGTTTGGTATTGAGTTGCAAAGGCCGTGGTTTCTATTGAGGCAAAGTGTAAGTTGTGAATATCATTTAATTGAGTTACTCTGCGGTTATTATTGTTTAGACTTTGTATACATTGTGGTTGAGCCGTGGGCTCCTTATTGTGATATTTTTGTTATTGTTGGCTTTTTCTGGCAAGTTGTAATATTGGGCACTTGAGGTGCGAATTGTGATACGGTCTGATATTGATACGTATGCGGTGGTATAAGGTCTGGGTGTTGAAACACATGTGGTGAGATAAGGTGGGCTTGAAACGCGTGGCTAGTAGGGGAACTACTAGAAGCCATGCAGGGTGATAAGGTGGGCTAAAACTCAGTGTGCTATTTCGGGAAAAATAATTTTTCAAAACTAAATGTAAAGACTCCCGTGGTGATATGAGGAAAGACTGTGAGTTATTTTTATAATTTGGGACTTCGAGGCGGTACCTCGGTAGTGGCCCTTGTTGATCTTTCTTTATTTGATGTATTTGTTTCGGTTGTTGCTTCCTTAACATGTAAATCCTTGTTTCCTTCCGTGTTGTATTAACTGTCTTGACTCTGTGTTGTTAACTTTCCCTAAATTCCTTATTGTTTCATTTCCTTTGTCATTTTCATTATATCGTTATATCTTCCGTCTTGTTTCTTATTATCTCCAGTAGGGGCTTGACCTGACCTCGTCACTACTCTACCGAGGTTAGGCTTGGCACTTACTGGGTACCGTTGTGGTGTACTCATACAACGCTTCTGCACATGTTTTTGTGCAGATCCAGGTACATCTTATCAGTACCGGCACTAGTGCGCTGAGTTTGCTTTTGGAGACTTCAAGGTACACATGCCCGCATCCGCAGGCCTCGAAGTCCCCTTTTATCCCGTTCTCCCTTATCTCTTTAAACTTTTATACACAGTGATGTACAGAATTGTTCAGCACTGTACTTAGAGCTTGTGACTTATATCTCACCAGGTTTGGAAGTTGTACGTATTGAGTTACATATTTTATTTATGAGATTGCCGAAATTTTGAGATTTTAAGTTTTTATTTAATGTTTCCGCATGTTGTTAGGCTTACCTAGTCTTAGAGATTATGTGCCATCACGACATCCTACGAAGGGAACTTGGGGTCGTGACACTTACTTTCATGTTAGGTCCACTCTATCCCCTTTTAAAACCTTCACTTACCATAGCTTCATACATACAGATTGCATATGTAGGTTGACGTAGGACATCAACAAACGGTCATCTCAAACGACCTTCTCTCGTTTAATCTTCAATGCGTGCTACTTGCACATTTCGGAGAATGTAGTCATTCATAATCTTGTCTAATATTGTATGATCACACATCCATGTTAGCAGTTGAATCTCTATAACATTCGGATATATTTGACTTTAGCAATCCAATATTCATTATCGTATAGCATTATCAATCTTATAGTTATTCAATACAATCACTTTGGTAGGCATCAGGCATCCTTCTATCGCATAATACTTGGGTAAATTCTCCATAGTTCTTTATATAACCATGCAAAAAAACCCTAATTATAAAATTAGATCCATATGAAATATGAGGATGAGATAGATCTTTATTGAACATAGTATCCCCTATATAAGTTTTATCGTCCCAAATATTAAATTTGGGATGTGGACTAGTTAGACTAGAAAGTGTACCATATTAATATGTGCGGCTATATGTGAATTTTCTATCCTGATACAGATTTTCAATTGTGTATAAGTGATTTCTTTCACCTACTAATTAAAACTTGATACACAGAGTTACACGATACTTAAACTCGTAGGAGATAGCGGATATTGGTGAATATAGCACAAGTTGGCTTAAATACCGCCGTCAATAAAAAGAGGAATATATAAGGAAACAATTCATACCCTCAATTAATATAGAATTATGAGGTTGTTTGGTTGGCTTTTAAGCTGGTCAAACTGAAAAAGTACTTAAAACAAGCCAAAAATCATAAGTTGAGCAAAACCAACTTATTATTTTTTGGTTTAAAAGTTACTCCCTCATTTCACTTTTCCTTGTCCACTATTGACTTTGCACACACCTTAAAAAATAATAAATGAAGTGCATAATTTACCATGATACCCATATTAATTGATGCTTACTTTTAATGAATTTGAGAAAATGATTTGAAATGAATAATAATACTATGGGTATAACAGGAAAAAATAAATTGTCTTCTCTTGATATGCTAAAAGTGACAGGTAAAAGTAAAAAATTTGTTTTTAGATTAATACAGGACAAGTAAAAGTGAATGGAAGAAGCACTTTCTCCTATTCAATTTATGTGTCTTACTTTCTTTTTTAGTCGGTTTCAAAAAAAAATATCTCTTATTATATTTAGTAACTTTTTAACTTGAACTTTACACATGGCATATTTAAGATCATATGATAATGATATTTTAGTACATTATACACATCTTTAATTTAATACCACGGAATTTAAAAGCTTTCATTACTTTCTTAAGTTCCGTAACCAATCATAGATACGGAAGGCGTATCTATGTTTGACCAACTGTTCTAATATCCTATCCCTTATTATTTTTATAATTCCAACATTACCCTTATACTATGGTTCCTTCTCTTTTCTTCTCCATAGCGTTCTTCTACTCTTTCTTTCCTCTTCCTTGATAAAGACTTAAGTTGTTGGTATTTAACAGAAGCTAAGGCTAGACAATAATTGGTTCATATATGAAGATAAGTTCGAAAATTGATTACAGCACCAACCTTTTAAGATTACATAAACATAAATTTAAATCCTCCCGTTTAAATTTAATTTCCTTCTTTATTTTTTTGCTAGAACTGAAATTTTGTTTAATTTGTTGCTGTAGCAATCGTGCACGTACAATTTAGCAATCAGATTAAGGAAAGTGGTGATACAATTATTTAAAAAAAAAATAAAAAATTGTAGTTAGGAATGTGGGATTGCCAAATCTTCTGAGAGTAAATATATGAAATATATATTATCTTAGCTAATCGGTTTAAATTGAAAGCAAATTGAAATATAAATAATTTTGTATGTGAATTAATTTAGAATTTAAAATCTTATAGTAATCAGCTCCTTTATAGTTTAACAGATTTGGGGATATTTCATTTCTTTTAACAGAAAAAAGTGTTTACCAATGCTTATTTACCAAACACATCATCAACTTTTTTTTAACGTCAGTACTTATATCTAAACACATCGTACTACTCTCTTCGATCCATAATAAGTGACCAATTTGCCTTGAACATACCCATTAAGGAAATACGAAATTCTAGACAAAAGTAGTTAGTGTGACAAAATTACCCTTAATTAAATGTTAAAGCATAATTTAATGTGAGGAGTAAAAGACTTTTTAGGAATACGTACATAAGGGTAATTTTGGAAAAAGAAATTGAATTTTTTCTTGAATATATAAATGGACACTTATTTTGGACCAAAATAAAAAGGCAACTTGGTCACTTAATGTGAAGCGGAGGGAGTACTACTTAAAAGCCACTTTTTTCAACTAAGCCAAACAGGGGAGTTTAGTTAGTACTTTACAGGATGCGTCAATGGAGAACTGGGTCCTTTCCCATGACAAGGAGGCAGGAGCAGTATAATCATTTCCATGAGTTTTTTTATCACTTGGTTTGGTAAAAAGAACAGACAGTAAGGGGTCGTTTGGTATGGTGCATAAGAATAATGCTGAATAGGGTGTATTAGTAATGCTGGTATTAGTTATGCTTGCATTAGTTATGCTGGTATTAGTTATGCTGGCATATTTTCTTATCCATTGTTTGGTTTGATGTATTAAAGCATTGCACAATTTCTAAAAGAATTGCTTGTTTACAAAAATGTCCTCAAAACCATTCCATCACTCTAACTTTTTAAAAGAAACATATGTTAAGAAATGTTTTTATATGAAAAAGTTTAAAAAAAAATTATTTGATTTGTCTACCTATATATATATATANTATATATATATATATATATATATATATATATATATATATATATATATATATATATATATATATATATATATATATAGTTTATTTTATTTACTAGAGATATAATTTTATTTCTCACTATTTGGATTATTTTAAACTTGCATTAATATAATAACTAGCATATTTTAATCAAGCATAAACTTTGAAGGACAATTTTGTCTTTAACTAAGCTAATGCAAGCATTAAAACCCATTGCATTGCTAACACCATGGTTTTCTATGCATTAGTTATGCATAGGATAATACCAAATAGGATGTATAACTAATGCTTGCATAACTAATGCATAGGTTCAAAATGTCTACCAAACAAGGTATTATTAATACACAAAGCTAATGCATGCATTAGTTTATCTAATGCATCCTACCAAACGACCCCTAAGGTATTCGCGGCATTTTTATCACTTACATTTTGTCAATCTTTTCCAGTTGCATAAAGCAACAACAGATTAGTTGACAAATGAAGATACTTTCCCCAGTAACACATCTTTACCAAATTCCTTGCAAGCACTATCAGGAATGGAACAAAAGGCAATTGTTACACCTATGTGTTAGCATACTTATGTAAAAAAAAAAAAAATCCCATACTGAGACTATGGTTAAAAATCCTGTAACTGATCGATCAATCTAAAATTTGAAATAAGCGAGAAACTATGACAGATTCTCAGGGTATTACATGGATGAATTATCCACATTCTTCTTCATGCTTGACAATCTTGACGGTGAGCTCCATATCCATTCTAATCTCTCTTTTTCTCTTTCTGGGGCGTCGGCTTTTGATATATGATAATTTGACTCAAGATGGTACCATTCATCAGTACACCAAGCGCAGATCCCAAGGCAACTGCAAACAAATTAAGGAGACTTGGAGAGTTAAAAGGGCAGGATTGATCAAATTACAAACATCATACAAGGATAGACGTAAAGCTGAATATATGTCACATGATAGATACAAAGTTGTGGCACTCTGGACACTTCATACATCCTTTCTGATGTGGAAATCTTTCCTTGAGAATATTGTTCAGGAATCTCAAATGTTCATGGTCTACTATTAAATATGAAAATAATTTACAAATAGTCCTGGTTAACAAAATGAAGGGGTGCCTTGGCATAACCGGTAAAGTTGCTGCCATGTGACCAGGAGGTTACGGGTTCGAGCCGTTAAAACAGCCTCTTGCAAAAATGTAGGGTGAGGCTGCGAACAATAGACCCTTGTGATATGGTCCTTCCCCGGACCCCGCGCATAGCGAGAGCTTAGTGCACCGGACTGCCCTTTTTTTTCCTAGTTAACAAAATGACCAATGGTACGATAATAGAATAGCCGAAACAATAACGATGGGGTCCAAGGTAGGGATGGTAACTATTTAGTAGGTAAATTGATATCCCAGATGGTGAAAGGATTTGTTGTAACTTGTAAGCCCTAGGATGGAGTATATGAGCTATATATCTGTAAGAGGGTACTAACAAGGGAACGTATTGATCTCGAGAATATCATTCTGTAAGTTCATTTGTAAAGACTTCAAATTTCTTTCTATTTTTCATTTTCTTTTTCATCCTAAAAACATCTTAAACATACTTTGACTGGACAAGCTGAGTCTCTGTCACATTTGACTAGAGCCGCAGATAATGGTGAGAAAATTGGCTAGCAGTCGCACAGTGGGTACTGTAAATCCCACGATACCAGTAAGAATTCTAATCATAGTTATGCACATTTGACAAAACCAGATTATGACAAAGCATGCATCAGCTTATAAGTTTAAAATAAAATAAGGTACTAATGCTTCCATATTCCAGGAGCAGTCTGCAAAATAATATAGAGGTACAGATCAAACTGAGTAAGAAAGAATACCACTCATGGGAGCTTTTTCCTGGAGGCTGGTAAAAACTCTAACTGCATAATAAAAGGTAAAGGAGATGAGAACTTCATTTCAGTAACAGAGAATCGGCATGCAAAAGTTCGCAGTCAAAGTTAACTTACCCATGGAACCGGCAAAGTTCATAAAAAAGGTCAAAAAGCTCAGCTCGCCAGTACTTCTGTTCTGC